CCATCACATCCATATACCACAACTTATTCAACCATTCCTCAATTCCTAGACTTCCTATTAGTTTCCAGTTCTCGTTGTTGTCATTGTTTTTGTCATCGCAGAAAGAGCTACTATAAATGTTTTTTGTACCCCAAGTGCTTAGCACGATGCCTAGCACATAGCACTTAAGCTTTTTGATTTGATTTGATGTGAATTGGTCTTGGTCTATTGTTTTGTTCCTGTGCAAGAGTAAATCTTTTAAGTTATCAAGAATGATCATAAATGAACAAAATATTACTTTGGCTACTAATCTTAGAAGGAAATAGATCCACCTAATATTTCAAACCATTGAAGGTAAGCAGTGGATAGTCAAGTTTTCTGACTCCTAGGGTCAGCATAAAGGAATGGAAAGAACATGGGACTGACATGGGATCAAGAGGCTTGGATTCTAGACCCAGATCCATGAGTTTCTGCTGTTTCTCCTTGGCCAAGTCACTTAGCCTCCATGACTCTGTTGCCTCATCTCTAGGGTCAAAATGTGGTTAATATATAATGCTTTCCCTACCTACCCTGAGACAATCAAACAAGATTATGTGCATGAAAACCAATTGGAGGTTAAAGAACACTACATTTTTTCTTTTCTTTTTCTTTTAACATTTAATAGTATTTTATTTTTTCCAATTACAGGTAAAGATAGTTTTCAACATTCATTTTTGTAACATTTTGAATTCCAAATTTTTCTCTCTCCCTCCTTTCCCTCCCCCCTCCCCAAGACAGCAAGTAATCTGATATAGGTTATACATGAACAATCATGTTAAATATATTTCCACATTAGTCATGTTGTGAAAGAAGAATCAGAAAAACAGGGGAAAACCATGAGAAAGAAAAGACAAAAAACAAAAAAAAAGTGAAAATAGTATGCTTCTATCTGCATTCAGACTCCATAGTTCTCTCTCTGGATGTGGTCAGCATTTTCCATCATGAGTCTTTTGGAATTGTCTCAGATCATTTTATTACTGGGAAGAGCTAAGTCTATCACAGTTGATCATCACACATTGTTGCTGTTACTGTGTACAATGTTCTCCTGGTTCTGCTCACTTTACTCAGATCAGTTTATACAAGACTTTCCAGGTTTTTCTGAAGTCTGCCTGCTCATCATTTCTTATAGCACAATAGTATTCAATTACATTCATATACCACAACTTGTTCAGCCATTACCCAATTGATGGGCATCTCCTCCATTTCAAATTCTTGGCTACCACAAAAAGAGCTGTTATAAATATTTTTGTACATGTGGGTCCTTTCCTCTTTTTTATGATTTGCTCTAAGACAGATCAAAGGGTATCCACAGTTTTATAGCCCTTTGGGCATAGTTCCAAATTGCTCTCCAGGATGGTTGGATCAGTTCACAACTCCACCAAAAATGCACTAGTGTAAATAGCACTATAAATTAGGGGGTTTTAACCTTTGCTTGTACCATAGACCCCTTTGCTAGTCTGGTTAAATGCATAAAATAAAATGCATGTAATTACTAAGGAAATCAATTATATTGAAATATAGTTATCAAGACATTACACACACACACACACACACACACATATACATATACATATACATATTTATTTATGTTCACGGACCCCAGAATAAGAACCCCTTCTATAAATCTAAGGTGCTGATGATGGTGTTTCCTCTAAATCTGGGTAGATTGTTCCTTCAGAGTCTAGGCTTTGTTTTCTTCTATTTGTAACTATTATTAGGAATATAATAGTAGGCAGCTAGGTGGCTTAGTGGATAGAGTACTGGACCTCGAGTCAGGAAGTCTTGAATTCCAATCTAGGCTTAGACACTAGCTAGGTTGTATAATCCAGGGCAAGTTACTTGAACCTAGGTCAGTATCAGTTTTTGTATCTGTAAAATGGAGATAATAATAGCACCTACCTTCTAGGGTTGTTGTGACGATAAAATTAGATAATATTTTAAAGTGCTTTTAAACCTTTAAGTGCTATATAAATGCTAGCTGTTTTTATATAGTGATCCAGAGGCAGGTATTTGTATGCATCATGTATACTTAATTTCTGATTATATAGGATTATATAATCATCCATAGAATTTAAAAAAATTCTTATTCATGACTATATTTTTTGTATTATAATTATTTCTCTTTATATCCTTGCTCTTCTCCAACTCACAGCCCCAGATACTTGTTTGTAACAAAGAAAAACAGCCTAGCAAAAATGACCAACTAATATCATAAGTATTTCCATGTCTGTGCTCATCTGACTTAGAAAAATAGTGGTCACTGCATTCATTCTGAATTCTAATGCCTTTTTGTGTTGTTTTTATTTACATTCTTATATTCATTGTTGCATATGCTTCTTCTGATTCTGCCTACTTTGTATCAATTCCCACAAATCTTCACGTTTCCTGTCTTGCACTAGGCTGTGATGAATGTTTCCCTCCCATCCACTTTATATTTTCATTCCTCATTTGTCATTTCTTATGGCACAGTTATATTCTGTTACATTCATATACTACAATTTGTTCAACCATTCCACAATCAAAGAGTGCCCTCTTGATTCTGGTGTTTTTTACTACCCTAAAATTGCTTCTATGAATATTTTTATACATACGAGAACTTTCTTTTTGCATTCCATTTCCTTGGAGTGAGATGAGGTCAAAAGGGATGAACAGTTCGGTAACTTTTGTCATACAATTCCAAATCGTACTCCAGAATGGTTGGGCCAATTCCCAGCTCTCCTAACAATGTATTAATGATATTGGCTTCCAGCAGCCCCTTCAATGTTGACTATTTCCCTTTTTTATTATCTGCCAATTTCTCTATGAGGTGAAAACTCAGAGTTGTTTTACTTTACTTTTATTATTATTGATCAGTAGAATTTTTCTTTTGGTCACTTAATAGTTTGTATTTCTTTAGAAAATGTTGTTCATGTTCTTTATGGCATTTGGACATTTGATTTTAATTAATTAATCAACAAGCATTTAGAGTTAGGGTTAGTACCTATAGCGTTCCAGGAACTATGCTGTAAAAACAAAGACAAAAATGAAATATTCTCTGTCCTTAAGGAGCTTATATTCTATACAAGCAAACTATACAAGCAAATCACATGTATACAGAGCAAATTTCTGGTGATGAGTGGGCACTGATAGCTCAGGGAGGGCTGAGGCAGAGGCAAAAGTGAAGAGGGAATGTGCTCCAGGCATTGGGAACAGTCTCTTCAAAGGCTTGGAGCTGGGAAATGCAGTGTCATATGAGGAAAGTCTATTTGCCTGGTCTAAAGAATGTATGAAAAAGAGTAATGTAAAATAAAACCGAAAGTGAGGATTGGAACAAGGTTGTTGAGGACTTTACATACCAAACAGAGGCATTTATATTTGATTCTAGGGATAATAGGGAACCACTGACATCAAGCAGGAGAGTAACATAGTCAGATCTGTGCTTTGAGCTTATCATTTTGATAGTGTCTTAATGCAGGCTTAAGACAGTTTGGAATACTGAAGTCCCAAACAAAGAAACATGGAGCGCACAACAAGACTCCAAAGCAAGGCAACTTTATTGATTTGGTCAGTAAATGTTTTTGAAGTGCCTACTGTGTGCTAAGTGCCAGGGATACAAAAAAAAAGGCAAAAGACAGTCCTTGTCCTCAAGGAGTTTTAAATCAAATAAAGGAGGCAAAAAGCAAACAAATATGCACAAACAAGCTAAATATAGGATAAATAAGGATTAATTAAGAGAGGGAAGGCACTAGAATTAAGAGGGGTTGGGAAAGGCTTCCTGTAAAAGATGAAGCTTTAGCTGGGATTTAAAGGAAGCCAGGAAATCCAGTGGGTGAGGAAGGAAAGCATTCTAGGCATGGGGACAATCTGAGAAAATGCTCAGAGCTGAGGCATGGAGCATCTTGTTTGTGGAGTAGCATGGAGGCCAGTGTCACTCGATTGAAGAGTACGTGGGAGCAGGGAGGCCATTAGGTTGATTTTACAAATCTAGGTGAAATGCGATGAGAGCTGGTATGATGGATGAATTCAGAACATGCTGTGGAGGTGGGATCAATAAAACTTAGCAGCAACTGATTGGATATGTGGAGTGAGAGAAAATGAAGAGTCAGCAATGAGTAGAAGGCTGAAGGTATCCTCAATGGAAAAAGGGGAGTGTAGAAGAGGGGTGGCTTTGGAGGAAAAATAATGAATTCAGTTTTTGTTGTTTCATTAAAAGTGACTATGAGACATCTGATTTGGAATGTCTAGTAGGTAGTAACTGATGTGGGACAGTTGCTTGGTTAGAACAATAGGGATATAAAGATCTGGGAATCATTTGCATGGAATGGCAATTAAACCTATGAGAGCTGATGAAATCACCAAGAAAATATAAATTAGAAGGGGAAGGGGACCCAAGCCAGAACCTTGGGATACACCTACAACACTTTCCACTCTGCCATTATATACAGGCTGAAAATTGTAAAAATGACACTCCAGAACTAGTCAATGTTGACGGAGCTGTGAGAAGACAGTTACACTAATTTATGATTGATGGAGCTGTGAATTGGTTTAACTGGCTGTATGTTCAGGGAAAGTAACAATGTTTTAGCATTAGTTTAAACCAAAAATGTTTAGGATGGTGAGCTTGTTGGAGAATTTATGGAATGCTTTCCAAAGCCAAACATGAATGATCGGTGGATTACCTGCCATTTGAGATAATCTGTCCTCCTCTTTGCTAGTTGTTGTTGTTGTGTTTGTCCTTAATTCTCGAAGAAGACCATGACATCAGGGAGGTGATGACATGACTTGCAACTGACTTTGATTTAAGTGAGGAAGGGCTGTGCAAGGTCACCAGCCTCACTTTCTCCTCCAGAGCCATCTGGGTCCAGCGGCCAGATATTCATCAGGATGACTGGAGATGGCCCAGGATGCTAGTTAATGTGAATGATTGAAGCCAGACTCTAGATTCATGTTTGCTTTCCTATAGAGTAGAATGCTCATACTAGTGATTGTTTCTTTATCTGTAGATGTGAATGGAAAGACTAATGTACGACCAACTGCCCTTCTTCTTGTATCTCCGTAAGGAATGTTGGCTGCTTAATTTGTGTTTGTGAATTCTTCAACATGCTCTGTTGAAAGGCCTTCCAGGAGCACAAGTGTTCACCATCTTGTAAAGCCATATTATCTGGTAAGTGGACCTGAGCCCTCAATGAAGAGAGAGAGAGAGACAGACAGACAGACAGATAGAGAGAGAGTAAGACAGAGACATAGAGAGAGAGGCAGAGAGAGACAGAGAGAGATGGCAGCTTAGTAGCCCTGGTGATATGCTCTTCCATCCTTTGGATGATTGCCACTGGGAGTTAAGAGCCAGGCTTTTCCCATGGAATGCAACCAACCTTATTCCTGTGGGTTTTCTGTTGGGCTTATTAGCGCTAGAAAGGAAGCAGCTCTCTTTCTGTCAGGTGCACACAAAGGCTGTTGTTGTCTGAGGGCAAAGTAAGGAAGGGTGACTCTGTGCTTCTGGGCTGTACTAATTTTCAGATGGAGACCATCAGATGTAATCGTCTGCCTCATTAAGATGACCCAGGGCCTACCTCTCCTTGTAATAATGTTACAAGAGCACTTAACAGACTTGGTAACTGCTGTAAGCAGGGTAGCTGAGGAGATCAGGAGTAAGTGGGGACAAATGCCATAAAAAACAAAAGTGTGTGTGTGTGTGTGTGTGTGTGTGCGCGCGCGCACGCGCTATTGCCCTGTTCTGTTCAAAATAAAACAGGTGGAGGAGGCAGTAATCGTTTGGCAAGGTAAAATAGCAGAGATACAGATCTCCCCACAATTTAATTGCTTTTATTTCTGACTTGAACTTTAGCTACTTCTTTTGAGATTAAATGGGAAATGAAATAAATCGGGCAGAATAGCAGAATAGACTGAAAGAATTGGGTTTATGAAGTGAGATCTCAAGACTTCAGAGATATTCCACATGAATGATGGTGAGCCCCTGTTCTTTGCTTCCAAAGAGACCAGGAAAAGATGAAATGAGCAAAGGTTGTAGCAGAAGGAATTTAGCGGACATCAAGGGAACTGCCTGCTATAAGTAGCCAAATATTAGAAAGAGGATCTCTGACAAAGTTGTTACATTGTCAAATCTAGTGGGAGGAGGGGTTTGCTTGTTTAAATAACCAATAAGCTTTTATTAAAGTATGTGGAAAGCACTGTGCTAGGTTCTTGGGAATTACAAAGATAAAAATTAAATAATCTCTGCCCTCAAAGAGCTTGCATTCTATTGGGAGAGGTAGTATTTACATATGTAAGCAAATATAAAATAGAAATCTTTCAATAGAAAACCTAAGTCACTTTTCAACTTCAAACCTATGGCCTTATCTTCTTTTTTAAATAAGTTTTATTGTTGCCTTTGTTTCCATATTATAGTCATTATTGGAAATATTCCTAATTCTCCCTGCAGAATGATACCTCCCGCATAACAGTTCAGCAATAATATTGACTACAGTGATCACATCTGACAAACGTAGGACCTACCACATTGTACTTTACAGTAGTCTTTCTCTTTTTTGCCACCAGGAGGGAGGTGTATTTTATCTTCTGCTCTCTGGGAACATTTTTTTTCAGTTATTCAGCATTTTGCTCTTTTTGGAGTGATCTCTTTGTTTACATTGTAGTAGTCATGCATTATTTTTTGTTCCTGCTTATCTTTGAAAAAATCCATAAAAATCTCTCATATTGCTCAGAATTCCTTATGTCATAATTTCTTATTGCAGAATATTATTCCATTAAATTCCATGACCATAGTTATCTCAGCCTTTTTCCAAATGATGGGCACGCACTTTATTTCCAATTTTTTGCTATCACAAGGAGCACTGCTATGTATATTTTGGTATTATCTATTGGGCCTTTGTTTCTTGGAGTTATATGTAGTAGGACTAAAGAGTCAAAGGGTATAAATAATTTATGAATTTATGAATAATTTTCTTGTATAATTCCAAATTGATATATTGAAGAATTGGGCCTTTTCACAGCTCTAACAATGTGTTAATGTGCCTATCTTGCCACAGTCCCTCCAACATTGACTGTTTGTTTTTTTATCATCTTTGACAGTTTTCAGGATATGAGTACTACTGCTAGTGCCGTAACTAAAAAATCTCTTGTATTTATTTTATATATATTTCATATATGCTTATATGGACTAATTTCCTCCAATATGGTACAAGCTACTTGGGGGCATGGACTATTTGGTTTTTGTCTTTATATCTCCAATGCTTAGCTTACAGTAAGCACTTAATGAAAGTTTGTTGATTGATTGATTTTTAGTCAAAATCTCAATTGCTAGAATTTGCATGGGGCAGCTAGGTGGTGCAATAGATAGAGTGCCAGGCCTGGAATCAGGAACATTCATCTGCCTGAGTTCAAATCTGGTCTTGGACACTCACTAGCTATGTGACCCTGGGCAAGTCACTTAATCCTGTTTGCCTCAGTTTCACCATCTATAACATGAGCTAGAGAAGGAAATGGTAAGCCCCTCCGGTATCTTTGCAAAGAAAGTCTCAAATGGGGTCACGAGGAGTTGGACAGGAACGAAAAATGATTGAACAACATAATTTGCATGTCACATACTATTTAAGATTTAGGTTTATGTTTTTATGTGGTCTTTTGCAGTTTGCAATTCTTCCTTTGAAAACTGCTTTTATTCCTTTACCATTTGTACATTGGGGAATGGTTCTGTGTCTTATATATTTCTATCTGCTCCCTAAAGATCTTCGATATCAGTGTTTTATCAGGGATATTTGATTCAAGTATTTTTCCCACTAGACTTTTTCTCCTGGTATTTCATCTCCATTGATTTTGTTTATGCAAATACGATTTTGTGTATGTAATCAAAATTATTTATTTGTGTTTTATAATGACATCTGTCCTTTGAGTAGGAATTTTCCCTGTAATCATACTTGTGAGGATAACTGGCTAAGAGAGGGTGGGAATAGTGTGTGTGGTGGTTTCAAAGCTGGGTGGGTGGGCCTGGACTTAGTTCTTTGCTCTTCTTGCCCTCTTTGCTTAAAGTGCTTGTCCTCCAGGATCTTACATATTAATGAAGGAGACAGCATGTAAATAAAAAGGTGCTAGGTGAGTACAAGATAAGTTTGTGTGTAGAGGTAGAAGAAAGGTAACCTTAAGGTCAGCTTGAAGAGCAAGACTCAAATGGATGAGGACACCAGGAGGGGCTACTTGCAGTAAGTAGCACAGGGGAGAGGTTACTGCACAGGTGATCTGGAAGATTTGAATTCAAATCTTTATACACTTAGTACTGTGTGACCTTGGACAAGTCACTCAACCTTTTCTGGCCTCATTTCTTCATCTGAAAAATGGAGATAATGAAGCACATACCTAACAGGGTTGTAAGAATCAAATGAGATAACATATATAAAGTTCTTTGCAAACCTTAAAGCATTTTACAGATGCTAGCTATTATTATTTTTAGAAAAACATTATCTCATTGTTGTCTCATTATCTCTATGTTGCCTCATATAATAAGATTTTGTCTAATGTTGTAGGGTAAGACACCAAGGAAACAAATTATTTTTATGAGGTCAGTCATAATAAATTAGTAGTGAGACAAGAATGAAACCTAGGATTCTCTTTTCTCTAACTAAAAATCTGCTTTTTTCTCTAGAAAGAACTCTTCTCCATCTGTCCCCAGCTAGGATCATTAGCCATGCATGAAGGACTATTTTAAAGTGCAGGGATTTTGTCTTAAAAAAAAAAAAATCCTACAGTAGATCACTGTTTAGCCAAAATGAAAGAATAGCCATATTGGAGGCCTCACTTTGGTGAAAGAAGTTTGCAGCTGGTTTGCAATGTAAATGGAGTAAGATTCCACTTGGGCCTGCTTGTAGTGACCCTGCTATTTGTTTCCTAGCAGCTACGACATGCAGCCAGATAACTAGCCTCTTGAAAACCTTGTTGAACATTTCTGTTCCTTTCACTGTGCAAATCTGTCAGCCATCGTGCTTTGTAAATAAAGGAATGTAAAGAGAGCAAGGAAAGGAATTTGGAATTTCTGCAGCTTATCAGGCCTGGAAAGATCAAGGTGGCCCAGCTAGCCATTCAGCTTTCCCACTTGATGTCATCCAACAGAGGTGCCAAACCTGTGGCCTCAGAGACCACACCCTCATTGACTACAGTTGAACCAAATTAAAATGCAATTGGGAAATTTTTTTTAAAATACAACATGTTTAGTGAGCAAGTTCATCTTTAGCAAATATAAAACTGCCGGGGGGAGGGGGAAAGGCAGGGAAGGGATGGAGAGAAACAACATTTCTACTACATAGGAAAACATCCCAGGAAGGGGGGTAAGGGTCCCAGGAATTGGGGCAGGGTGGGAAGAAGGGCTTTATGGTCCTGGGTGAGTGGAGATGAGGGTCAGGAGAACAAAATTGAAAAAAAAAAGTTTTGGCCATAAAATAAAAACACACAGTGTTGCTAGTAATTGTGAGATAATTAACAAAATAAATAAAAATACAATAAAACATACAAAACATTACTTTTTAAAATTGTCAATGTGTGGTTCAGGGATCCTTATGCATGGATTCATGACCTATGCTTTTATTTGAGTTTGACACCACTGTGGTGAAAGACAATTCAGAGGTAATCAATCACCAAGCATTTATTAAGTCCTTTTCATGTGCTAGGCACTGTGGTAAGCATTGGGAATACAAAGAAATGCAAAAACATAAAACCAATTCCTACCCTTAAGGATCTTACATATGAGTGGGGGTGACAGAGTGTAAATACATAGATAAATACAGCATGCCTACAGAGTAGAAGAGGGGTAATCTTAGGAGGGAAGACTCCAGTACATGGGGAGAGGGGCCAGGAGAGGCCTCTTGCAGCAGGTGGTAGTGCAGCTAAATCTTGAAGGATGTTGAGGCAGAAGTGAGAAAGGACAGGATTCAAGCCATGAGGGCAACCATTCCTAAGACACCGCCTCATGCAAGGCAATAAGCCGTGGTCATTGGATTGTAGAATGTGTGGAGGAGAAAAAAAAATTTAAGAAGATTGGAAAGGTAGGAACAGGCACGGATATGAAGACCTTTAAGTGACAAACAGGATTTCACGTTTGATCATAAAGTTCACGGCGATTTGCTGGAGTTTATTAAGCAGGAAGATGACGTGGTTGGA